TGATACAGAGCCTCTCAGCCCTTCTCAGATCAGTGACAAAGGGAGAAAGGCAGAGATGGGAGAAGAACTGTGCTGGAGGGACTCCGGGCAGGCCTATTGCAACGGCCTTGGCCTGCTTTGGTGGGGATCTTCTCCTTGGGATACTCTAGAATTACCTATAGCTCCTTTGGTAAGGCTGAAAAGGCCTCAGTCTTCAGACCTCCAAGGAAGCCCTGTCAGACTCAGCACTTTGGATAAGAAGCAAGAAGGGCACAGGCCTGGGAATCACACACATTTGCCATGAGGCCCTGGAGTAATTTCTCAGCCTCACCTGTGCCTGTCCATGCTGCTGTAAAATGGAGGTATAACTACCCCCATGGGGATATTTGATGAAAGAACAAGTAAAACTTGGAGTCTTGTGGCTGAACTGGGTTGAGACTTCATACCTTAGCCTCTGTCCCTTCGAGGCAATGCACAGAAGAATGCACACGCCCACATTTTGCAAATACAACGCAAAAATATCTAGGTGAAGTCTCACCCTCTCCCAAAGGGGTGTGCACATAAGCCAACGTCCTCTTGCTGTTTCTGACACTTACATATACTCTTAGCTCCCAAACTCAGTCTCTTATGGTTATCATGCCACCACATCATCCCTTTCTCTTGCTCTTTTAGTTGCTACAGCTTGCTCTGGAATCCTGGCTTTAAGAGGTTGAAGCTGAGCCAAATATCATCCGTCACTCACATATCCTAGACTCTCCTAAGCCAGTCCTGGAATGTGACATGAAGAATGGGCCCAATAGCTAGCCTGGCAAGGACTCACATGTAATAGCTGCATGCTGGATTTGTGGGGGCACTGCCAGGACCCCAGGACATGGGAGTATCTTCTGGGAACAAGAGAAGGTCAAAGAGCTGGAAGTTGTGCTGAGCTGTCTTAAGACTTCTGCTATGGCTTCCTGAAGCTTGGCTCCTTGGGCTCCTCAAGGCACTGCTGGGGTTCAAGATGCTTCTGCTGCTGTCAATCAAATGGCCTCTCTAAACCAGGTGGCTTATCCATTCTTCCAGCGCCCTGCCTCTCCCACAGGTACTGGGCCAACCCCACAGCCATGCTTTGGAGTTCATAATTACTAATCTGCCTTGGTAAGCAGGCACCCTCAATGCCAGCTGCAAGGTTTCACTTGATGTCCTGGCTGGGAATGGCATCCTGGAAGGGGCAGGCACTGTATGAGGCTGGGGTCCCAGGAGCTCCTGGCTCTACTTTCATGGGCTCTAAAATGCTCATGCATGCTGCCAATTTTGGAAAGCAAGGAATGGTCAATCACGCTGGGTAGGTCATCCCAGGTCTTGTGCCTGTAAATTTTCATCTTGGCAGCTGAAGAATTGAAAAAAACATGAGTTCTGCAATCAATCAGAACTTAGTTCTAGTCTCAATTCTGACACATAGGCACACAGTCTTTCCAGACCCGTATTCTCATTGGTAAAACAACCGTATTCTCATTGGTAAAACAAATAGAGATTTAATAATAGCATTTGATGAACACTTACTATGCACCAGGCTGCATTTTCTGCCATTTTCTGTATTCTGTAAATAAACAGGAAAACACACATGCGCTATTAATCCCTCCCTTCTTGGTGATGAATATGGGTGAATTTTAGTCCATTCTTGGAATTCCATTCTCCTTATCAATGACTGGTGTATAGATGGAAATATAACTTCATTCTGGCCAATTAGATACAAGGGTTTTCCAAGAGAGCTTTCCATTCTCTATTCACATTTGGATATTATGTACAAATGTGCCACCTGGAGCAACTGCAGCTATCTGGCGACTCAGAAGACAGTAGCCAGCATATTGAGAGCTGAAAGGATGTTGGTCTTTGATGTTTTCATTAAGCAGACCAAATAACCAACATGGAACCTACATCATCTCTGCACCTCTTTGAGAGAGGGCAGGAAGGAAAGACTATGAAAGACTGTGTACACTACAGAGCATGTGGGGGTCAGAGGACAAGCTTCCAAAGCAGGCACTCTCCTTCCACTATGTAGGTCCTGGGTAAAACTCAGGTCATCAGGCTTGGTGGCAATCACCCTTATCCAGAACCATCTCACCAGCCCCCATACATGTTTTTTTATTGCACTATATATTTTTCTAAGCTTCTCTCCTTTTCTCCCCCTCTACCCTCTCCTATGACCCACATGCTCATAATGTACTCAGATCTTGTCTTTTTCTCTTTCCTATGTAGATCCATGTATGTCTCTCTTAAGGTCGTCTTTGTTGTCTAGGCTGTCTGGGGTTGTGGACTATGGGTTGGTTTTTCTTTGCTTTATGTCTAGAAGCCATTTTGAGTGAGTACATATTATATTTGTCTTTCTGGGTGGACTGGGTTACCTCGCTCAATATGGCTTTTTCTAGATCCATCCATTTGCCTGCAGATTTCAGAATGTCATTTTTTTTTTAACCACGGTGTAGCAATCCATTGTGTAAATGTACCACATTTTTTATCCATTCTTCAGTTGAGGGGCATCTAGGTTGTTTCCAGGTTCTGGTTATTACAAATAATACCAGCTACTGACGTGTGATCTAATTAGTCTTATCAAGAAAAACCAGGAGTCAGATATTGGGGGGAAATCAGAAGATCAAAGAACCGGGAGTGGCCGTCAGTTGTTTACTACCTGTCTCTGTCCTCAGTCCAGGAGGTCAAGATCTTGTCTCCACCTCCAAATGCTGGGATTAAAGACATGTGCCACCACTGCTCAGTTTCTATGATTAACTAGTGGCTAGCTCTGCCCTCTGATCTCCAGGCAAGCTTTGTCAGAACACAAACGAAATACCACACAACAAACTATCCAATGATCTAGTTCTCTATCCTTGCTGTAAGTGGAGTGTATCATTGTGAATGCCTTTAGACACAAGAAGATCCAACTAAGAATTATGAGCTCACCTGGGATTCATGCAGGAGAGGGCACAGCAGGAACTGCCCATTCAGCACTGAGTATGAAAAGGACTAATACAACTTTCACCTGTGTGTGCTCCCTAAAGCTAATCTTTCCAAAGCATCTTATAGGCAAGTAGCCAAAACATATGCACAGATAACTCCAGCTGGCCCTGCTACAGGTCTGTAATCCCAGCTACTGGAAAGGCTGAGGCAGGAGGATTCAAGTGCGAGTCTTGTTTAAGGTAAAATTCAAGGCCAGCCTAGCACCACAGTGAGACCTAGCCTCGGAACTATTAGGGGTCAGGCTCAGGAGTACTGTGTTTGCCCATCACAAGTGATGCTAAGAGTTCACACTTAGAACTGTAAAATATAAATTCTGTTCCTCATGGTCTTCCCTCAGGGAAGACACATCACTTCCCGAAAGGACTCCAGTGGACTCAGGCAAAGGTCTGGGGACATGACACTAGGTGACCTAACATTGTTTCCATGCATGTTTGCCCCCTCCCTCTCTTCCTCACTACCCCCCCCCCATTTAGACACTGCTGAGTCATTCAGCATCACCAGGAGCTAGCTGTCCCCTACCCTCCACTCAGGTGTTAAGGACACTGGACTAAGAGCCACACCCCACCATTCAGCAAGTGCCAGTCAGCTCTGCAAGTGTAAAATAGAGAAATGGCAAGAAATCTCTCGGGACTGAGATGAGCACAGGCAGAAATCAGACACTGACACTCTACAGCACCAACTTGCAAATTTTCAAGGATGCTTTAGATGTGAATGCTTTTGGAGACAGCACCTTTACTTCTTGGGAAAGGAAATATATATGTGGAAGTGAGCTTTACAATAAAAATGGGGGGGGGGGACAACCTAGATAGTCTTCATGGGCAGGAGGAAGTGGAATAAGTTGAACACATCCTTACAAAATATTTTTATTTTATGTGCATGTTTTACTTTCATGTGTGTGTGTATGCACATATATACAGATATATGTGCCATGTGCATGGCTGGTGCTCCAGAAGGCCAGGTGTCAGACCCTCTGAAACTAGAGTTAGGATAGTTGTGAGCAGCCATGTGGGTGCTGGGAACTGAATCCTGGTCCTTTGCAAAAGCAAAAGGTGCTCTTAGCACCTCAGCCACCTTTTCATCCTCAGTTCCATGCACTGCCACTAACCTGATACAAATACAAAGGAATGTTAAAGAACACTGGATCTTTTCTTTTATTTCTGGTTTTTCCAGACAGAATTTCTCTGTATAGCCCTGGCTATCCAGGCACTCACTGTGTAGACCAGGTTGGCCTCGAACTCACAGAGATTTACCCGCCTCTGCCTCCCAAGCACTGAGATTAAACACATGCACCACCACTGCCTGGCAGAACACTGGATCTTAACAGCAGACAATAGGGTAGGCTATCCTGTCTCATTTTCATTAAAGAAAAATTAATCTGTTTACAATCATAGAAAAAGTCAACAGGTAAAGTTACACCAAATGAAATGGTTATTTATGGGGTATTAGAATTTGGAGGGGTTTCAGCTTTTTCTGCTTATTTCCCGTTTTTCACATGACATGAAGAATATTAATATACCACTTAAAACAGGGCAGCATAGGTATGAGGGGAGATTGGGACCTAAACAAGGTATCTCTTCTACACTGAATGACTATAGGCCTAACGAAGTGGTAGACAGTGTGCCATGTCTGTTTCTGCTGTGGTAAACACATGGCATGAAGACTCAATTGCCAGGCTTCCCGACAGCACCAGCGATCTTCTTGCTCAGACGTCTGGGGCATCTGACCACCGTCTTAGTCCAAGCTAAGACCTGGCAGGTATCAGCAGCAGCAGGGGCCACAGACAGACAACGGCTGAAACGTAGGTCCTCAGCGACTCTTCCAGGACCACCAAAGTGAAGACAGCCCCTAGAACAGAAAGGATGAACACCCAGAAGATCCAAGAGCTCAGGGGTTCCAGCCCAGGCCCTCCCATTAAAAATAACCCCCAACCCTTTCCAGGAAGCAGGACAAAGAATCAGGTTGAGTCAGGTGAAGAAGGCCCCCCCCCCCCCCCGCATGGGACTGGCCTTTGAATCAGGAGCAGACAGTCCACAAGTGAAAAGAGTCGCAAGTTTAGAGACGGCTTTCTCTCCTCACCAGACCTCTCCAGAGATGACAACCCAGCCTCAGCCCAGGAAAGGGAACAGGGCTTGGGCCTTCCCATCTAGGGCCAGAAACTGGGAAAGACTAAGTCTTTGTGCCAGGCCTGGTTTCTCTTTACACTGAACATTTAGAGGTGGGATGGAAAGAAGCTAATTTCCATTTCCACTGAGGCAGATACAGAGGAGGGGTCTAACGTAATCCATCTTACCCAGACCTTTCCCGGACTGCTTCCTACGGTCCGACAGCAGCTAGGCCTCTTCTACTCTGCTCTCCAGGGCATCTAATCTTCTGACAACATGACACAATGTCATCTACATAGTTGCTCCAGAACCCCATAAATGAAATTTTTACTAAGCCACGTGTTTTAAATTTACAATTTTGTGTTGGGCTATATCTGACAGCTATCCTGGAGTATGTGGCCCAAGCGCCTCAGGTAAGACACTTGCAGAGTGTTTAAACTGTCTGGTTCTTACCATATCTGCCCCTCAAAACCCACCACCTTAGGTTGGGGGAGGGAAGAGTGTGCAAGCTTGGGAGTAGGTAGCATAGGTCTTCCACAGAGCCTGGCAGTATCGGTGGACTTTCTCAGAATAAGGAACTAGCCAAGTGATTTCTAGGATTCCATCCCAGATTTCCTAGGACCCTGTGGGGTCTAGGTTAGGCCTACTTTGGGCCTTGTTAACTTTCGGCAAATTACATTTTACCATCGGGACTAGTTTCTAAGCTGGACCTCCGCAAGTTTGAGGCCAGCATGGTTTATAGTGAGTTCCCGGTAAGGAGACCATCTCAAAAACAAAGAAAAAAAAATTCTGCCTCACTAGCCTCCCTCAAATTAGAACACTGGGTGATGTGGGATGGGGAGGCATGCTCAGTCACCCTCCCACTTCATCCTCCTGGACCCCTTGGTCCCACCATCTCTGCAGCTCTAAATCAGCCTGGAGACAGCATGCTGGGCCAGAAGTTTAAGTCCCACCCCCTCCCACCTGGAGAAGAGAACAACTCGGTAAGCCCGAGCTAGCAGTCCAGTTCTGCTGGACTTGGGACCACCCCGAGCCAGAGGAATCTGATACCACCCAGCCTTGTGCGCCTCTGGCCTCTGGGCTTCCTTCTTCCCACGTAAGGAGTTGCACACTGGCCTTGAGAAAGATACTAGCACACCACTAAACCATACAATTAATGCTCAATAAAGCAGTAACCAGTAACTACAAGTTCTTCTTGTTCACCTATGCCTAAAACATCTGCCTCTCCCATGGCTCAACTGAAGTAAAAAGTGAAAGATGTTTGAAGACTTCAGGTATTTATCCAGATTGGCATCAAAGGGTGAAAGATGTTTGAAGACTTCAGGTATTTATCCAGATCGGCAAACAAAGGGTGAAAGATGTTTGAAGATTTCAGGTATTTATCCAGATCGGCATCAAAGGGCCACGTTTGGCCAGGTGTCGAGTGTTTGGTTCTAACACACAGCAAAAAGGAAAAGATTAATACTATTAATAATAATCTTAAAATGACTAAACAATATTCAAGGAATTTTCACATTTGGAAATTACATAAAAATAACATCTCAGTGTGCACAGATAAAGGAATGTTGGCCAACAGTACGTTTGTACACTGTGGATGAGCCACACAATACCTACTATCTGACCTTTTATGAACGTCGGCTACAGCCAAGCGTGATGGCGCACACCTGTAATCCCAATAGGATTACGGAACGAGGATGAAGCTTGAGAACTGCCCAGAGTTCACTGCCAGCATGGACTTACTACACAGCAAGAACAGGCCAGTAACAACTACACTGCAAAGCCTCATCTCCCCCTAACTCCCCACAAAAAAATTCCAAGTTCTGGTCTAGAGGTCCAAGAGGAGCCCCCAAAGCTGCTGCTGCTTCTACTTCCTGCTGGGCACCTACCTGCTTGGATCTGCTTTCCACCCATCTGTAACTTTCTGAGGGCTGCTGGCTTGGCTGCCTAAAACTTCTCACATCTTTTAAAAGCAAACTGAACAGTCAAACTGTGCCATGATACTATGACATGGGCCTTCGGTTCCTGTGCACTTGGTCATAAAGGGGAGTGAGCACTGGTGGCTGCCCTAACTTAAGTCTGTTTTATCCCCCCAAGCTCTGTTTGGCCACTTTCTTCCCGGGTCACTTTCTCCTGTAATTACCTTGAACTCTAGGAAACCCAGAACTGACCCATAAATATAATGTACAGTAAAGGACCAAAACTAGCTCCAAGCAACAGGGAACTTGGCAAGGCAACTGCCGGGCGGTGGTGGCGCACGCCTTTAATCCCAGCACTTGGGAGGCAGAGGCAGGCGGATCTCTGTGAGTTCGAGGCCAGCCTGGTCTACAAGAGCTAGTTCCAGGACAGGAACCAAAAGCTACGGAGAAACCCTGTCTTGAAAAATCAAAAAAAAAAAAAAAAATGAGGGCAACTGCCATTATGGTGAGGCTGTACCCTAGAGAAGCCAGACTGCTCCTCCGAAGTGATGACATTGGGAACTTCTCCAATCAGATTACTAGCCGCACCAAGAAGATCCACTGTCAGGCACACCCCACCCCTCGACTGTTTCCCTTTTCTATGAGAGCTCAAGGTCCCTGTCAGTCCCTTCAGGACTAAGGTGGGAGTCCAACACCTTTAATCCCAGCACTGGGGGAGGGAGGCATGGGGAGATGGGGAGAGGCAGTGGGTCTACATAATGAATTCCGAGACAGCCAAGGCTATGTAGAAAGACCCTGTCTCAAAACAAAAAACAAAACAAAGGGCTGAGGTGGGATCACCGAGTCAACCCGTTCTCCTCAACCTGGCTCCGCTAACCCAGTCCTTCTCTGGCCTTCACCAAAGCTTACCTCTAACTGATGTATTGAGACAAGCAGGTTGGCCTGGTCTCTTGGAGAACTCCCTAAGCAAGACGTTTCCTTTGAAACCCCAAGAGCAATCACCAATATAAAGGCTAAATTTTCTCCCTTGTGTTATTAAAATTATACATAATTATGTTTAAGTTCCATAACTCTTAAATCCCTCTACAACAAAGGAAAAATTATTAAAACATTTAATCACTGAAAATACAAATACATTAGCAAATGTATTTTAGGATACTTATACAAAATTTAACACAAAATTAAAGACTCTGACGATAAGCAATATGGATACTACTCTTTTTCCTTTACCAACTTTTCAATCCTTGGAACTAATGACGTGACTGCAAGTCTTAGGGCAGAGCCAAAACCCAGCAGGTCCCTTTGTTTCGATGCGGTCAAGGCTGAAAAGGTGGCATCGCACAGACAGACGGTGGAAAACGGCAGCAAGAGTCTCACTGCCTTTTCAGAGAGGTCTGGGTAGCGTGTCTTTGCGCTAACCCAAAACTGAGTTACAGACATTGATTTATAAGCTGACTGTAGACTCGTATCCAAAGATAATGCCGCTAATTTTTCTTCTTCAGAGTCAGTGAGGTTGTTATTCTGGTGACTGGCAAAGGGATCAACGAGCCACAGATTTCCCAAACGTAAGTCCTCTTGTGGGGGGTAGCAGTCATGGAAAACCTGAGCAAGTCCTTCTAAGTGCTCAATAATAATGCCAGCGATGCTTCTCCCACTCACATCTGAGGAGTCCAAGAACTCAGAAAACAAAGGGAACATATCAAAATCATTCTCTTGTGTGCGCTCCACCCACATTTTTAGCTTTTTCTTAAATATGTCGACTTTGTTATACAAATTGAAAAGAGTAGCCACGGTCCCTTGGAGAGCAGAATTTAACTTATTTATAAGTGAAAACATATCTGCTAAATATGCTAGCTTTGCAACCCATTCCTTGTCTTGAAAATATCTGGCCAAATCTGAATGCCTTTGATTTAAAAGTATTTCAATTTCATGTCTCAGTTCAAATAATCTTGTTAAAATTCTCCCTTTCGACAGCCAACGAACTTCAGCATTAAGCGGTAAGTTCACATGCTCCGATCCCATCTCTTCACACAGAGTAGTCAACATTTGTGAATCCGAGGCACCGTTCTTTACAAAGCTTAAAATTTGTGCTGACTGCAAAAGGATTTCATGTAAGCATGGAGATAGCTTTTCTGTTGCTAAGTGTTCGCGGTGAATGAAACAGTGTGTGAATGTCACTGCATTCTTGGTAACTTCTTGAATTTTTGACTTTAAACGAGAACATCTATCAGTCATGCTTGTGGCCCCATCAGTACAGAAACCAACACAATGGGTCCAACTCAGAGATCTACTATCAATATATTTATCTATTAGCTCAAATACTTCAAGATCTGTGCTCGGAGAAGACATTTCAGTACAAAATAACAATTCTTCTTTCACATCCCCACATGCATAATCGATGAAGCGAACATAGCAGAGGAGAAGGGTGCCGTCTGAGGTCTCCGCTGACTCATCTATCTGAAGGGCAAACCACTGGGATTCTCTGACCTTCTGAACCAGCTGGTCTTCAATGTCTGCAGACAGCTTGTTGATCCTGCATCCAATTGTGTTATTGGAAAGAGGGATGGTTTTCATTTTGTCTCCAGCACTTGAACCCAAAACTTCTGAACACATTTCTACTAAATACGGTTTAATTAATTCTTCAGCGATGGAGAACGGCTTCTTCCTGGCAGCAATTTGGAAAGCAATTAAATAAGAAGTTTTCACAAGCGACTCTTCAACTAGTAAACACTGTTTTAAAGGACTGTTTTGACATTCGATTTCAAGTGATTTTTCCTCAAAAAAGTCTCCTGGCTTGTTCTCTAACTCAGAATGTTTTTCCTTCAAATGGTTAGAGAGACTGACTGACATCACGCTTTCTTGAGGTAAGATCTCTCCACAAATGACACACTGTGCTCTTGGTGGACTTTCCTTTGATTCAGAACAGATAATAAAACCAGATTTTATATATTCTGCATCACAAGTCTGGATAAAGTCCACTCTTTTCTTCTTTGCAAGTGGAGAATCAGGTTCTTCGTTTTCCCCATTTGGCAGAGGTAAATCTGAAGGAAATATTTAAATATGAACACTTGTGTTATGATAACCTGAACAAAATTCCATTAGCAAGATGGATTAACATTAACTTTAGGGATTAGAGAACAGTTCAGTGGTAGCACTTTATCTGAGATGTCACCCTGGATCCAATCCTTAGCATCAATATAAAACAACATACTACATATAAAATCTAAAGGCCAATCTTAGGAGTTTGATTGTACTGTGTATACTACCATCTATGCCCTTTTTGGGAGCGTGGGGGTTAGAGACATGGCTTCTCTGTGTAGACTTGGCTGTCCTAGCACTTGCTCTGTAGACCAGGCTGGCCTCAAACTCAGAGAGATTCACCTTCCTCTGCCTCCTGAGTGCTGGGATTCACCACCACCAGGCTCTTTTAAGAATCTTAATGCAGGGGTCAGTGAAATGGCTCAGCAAGCAAAGGTACTTGCTACCAAGCTTGACAAGGTGGATGGATGTAACAGCTTCTACAAGTGTTCCACATATACACTGTGGCATGCTCCCAAGCATGTACAGACAAGTACAAAATAAAACAAACAAAATAAAATACAACAGAATCCCTAAGTAGGGCTAGGAATGTTAGCACACTCCTGTAATCCAGCACTTAGGAGCCAAAGGCAGGAGGATCAGGAGCTTAAGGTCATCCTCAGCTATATGACCAGTCTGAGATCAGTCTGTGACATTACATGAGATACCCATCTCAAAAACAAACAAACAAAAACAGTGAGAGAGGGGAGAGGTAGACAAAGAAGAATTTCAGTGTGTACATTTTCATCAATGTAAAATGTTTTCAATCCAATATCAAATGACAAAGCCATTTACAACAGTACATAGAAAGTAGTCCATATTTAACCCAGAAATTTAAAAAAAAATAAGCACACACATACCAGATGTCCACAGATCACGGATCTTTTACTACTTTTTAAACGTGAAGGTGTACAGAAGTTGATGCACACAAGTGACAGTATCATTTTAAACAGAAATTAAGATGATCAAATTTGCTCAAGAATTCTCTTTGACTCCTACCAAAGGAAAGGCACCCTATGTAAAATATCAATGATTACTTTTAGTGAGTAAGCTTTATATATTTATTTAGAGACAGGCTCTTGGTGTGCGGCCCAAGCTGGCCTTGAACTCAAGATTTCCTGCCTCAGTCTCCCAAATAGCTGGGAGTACAGTAACCTCACCACAACACCCAGCTCCAGACTGGGCATTTTACATATAGGTTAGGGAAGGGACCTGGCCAGCTTGAGCATGGTGAGCATGGCTCTGGCAGGCTTTGTTCTCCTCCCTCATTCCCTCTGCCTTGCTAAAAATCTTTAGGTTACATTCCTAAAACTAGTCACCAAGGTCCACTCCCTTAGTTTGCCACTTCCTCCTCCTAAGGCTGACTACCAAGGTCCAGCTGTCAAAGTACTGAAGTCCAGCAATCAGAAGCCTCCTTTGGCTCATCTAATTAACATGTCCAATTAAAATTAAACACCTCATCCTAACACAGAGATTCCCATTTTACCTTTATAAACTGCCATCTGCCTATGGGCCACATCTGTCTCTCCTTTCTCCAGAGGCAGTCCTTTGTTCCTCTGGGACAAATACCCCTGTCCCCTTTTCTTGTTCCCTTCTCTCTCATTCTCTATCTCCTTTACCACCACATCCTATCCCATTCTAACATAGGCCTCCCCTTTTTCTCCTCTTAAAAATTACACCTGCAAGGTCATTTGCTGTTGTTTTTCTGCCTGCTTAATAAAGGATCTCTGTGAAAATAGGTATCTAGGTGTGGTTTGGGCCTAACCCAGGGTCTGTGGAGGAGCCCCAATGTTCAGAAGCCCCTTTGGTTAGTCTGTGAGACAGGGTTATTGTTAAAAATGGAAGAACCTAGGCTATAGCTCTGTGATCAACGCAAAGCTCTGAATTTGACACACACACACACAACTTTGGGCAGAGCTAGCTAGCTACTAAAGTAATTGAAAACAGGAATATGGGAGTAAGGCACTACCACTGACTGGGGCAATGCTTTACAGCTTCCCATGCAGGAGTTCACATTTTCTACCACCAACACACCAGAGCATTATCTGTTCTCTCAACAACTGATAATTGAATAATTAAATGCAGCGTTTAAAAAGAGGAGAGTGAGAAAGAGAAAGAACTAAGGCTCAATCACAAATTCTTTTAAGCAAATATGTATGTCAGTAATTATAACGGCTTATCTACACATTTGAGAGAGCATGTACATGTGTGAAATGCTTAACTCTACACACAGTATTTTATGTGCATATGGATTTGTAGCATGCTAACATTTCACACTCAAGAATTGCTGTCTTTACCTTTTTATTAAATAAAAAAAAATCAGAAAGCAAACCTTATACAAGGTGCCAGGACACTTACCTGTCTGGCATGCAACATGGTGGGTATGTGGTCTGCAAGAGGTAGCTTTGGTCTGTGTGCCTGGCCTGCACAATATGCCTTTGTTCTTCTGAAGCCTGCGAGGCTGCAAACACTGGAGTGTCTCATCAGCTGCCAGAGTACTTCCCTAGTTAGAAACAAATCCACAGGCCAGTGTTTTTAGTAACTTTCCAACAACCATACTGCTATCAGATGAAAAGCAGTGTGTTATCCTGTAGAAGAGCAGTTACAAACAGAAAGCACTCTGAGGTAGAAAATAACAAAAACCACTGTGATGGTTTGAAAGAAAATGGCCCCCAGAGGAAGTGGCACTATTAGGAGGTGTGGCTTTGTTGAGAAGGCGTACTGTTGTTACAGTAAGTGTGAGACTGTGGAGGGGGGCTTTGAGGCCTCATATGTGCTCAAGCCATGCCCAGTGGGACAGACCACTTCCTGTTGCCTGCGGGTCAAGATGTGGGACTCTCAGATCCATCTCCAGAGGCACGGCTGCCTGCACCACCATGTCACAGCGTGAAGGTAATGAACCAAAGCTCTGAAACCATCAAGATGTGGATCTCAGCTGTTCCTGCTGCCATGCTTTTGCCCCATCATCATTAACTCTAGCCCTCTGAAACTGTACCCCAAATTAAATGCTCCCCTTTACATGCTGCCTTGGCTGGGGTGTTTGTCACAGCAACTGAAAAATAACGAAGACAACCACTAACTCCTAATCAGCATAGGCTCCATTCATTGTTTCTCTAAAAAAAAAAAAAAAAAAATTCTGGAAGACGGATATGTCTAGAATGGGTAAGGCCCTCCGTTCAATCCCTAATACACACGCACACACACACAAATTACTCTGCCTAAAATACAACTGAAATAGCCAAATAAAGAAAAAACATTTGCTGCTAAGGGTAATTATTTTTTAAAAATAAACAGGCTCCACAAAATAATATATAATCTCTATTGATTACAGATCTCAACTAGGCTGGGTGTTGGTGAAGCACAGCTTTAATCCCAGCTCTCAGTAAGTGGATCTCTTGAGTTTGAGGCCAGGTTGGTTCCAGGACAGCCAAGACTACACAGAAAAACCCTGTCTCCAAACAAAAACAACAACAACAACAACAAAAAGCCCAGAAAATTTCAAATGACCAGAAAGGAAGTATTTTTTCATTCATTCCTTCTTTCCTTCCTTCCTTTCTTTCTTTGGCTTTTTTAGACAGGATTTCTCTGTAGCTTTGGAGTCTATCCTGGAACTTGCTCTTGTAGACCAGTCTGGCAGAGATCTGCCTGCCTCTGCCTCCAGAGTTCTGGGATTAAAGGCATGTGCCACCAACACCTAGCTTTGAAAGAAAGTATTCTTAAGAGCAATGTAAAAACAAAGCAAAAAAAAAATTAATACATTTGACTACCTGGAACTTACAAGAAAAAATAAAACTTTTGTAAACAAAGATCATATCTCCATAAAATAAAGTGAAAGAAAGCAGAGTAGGACATTTATTTAAAACACATTTATTTCATTCGGAAAACATCTACTGAATGTAAGTAAGCCATAAATCAAGCACTGTCTAAGCCCTAGGGGTACAACAGAAAAAAACAAACAAACAAACAAACAAGAGTCCTGATCAGAGAAGGAGACACAAAAACCAAACAAGTAGCTAGGGGATGGTGGCATGCGCCTTTAATCCCAGCACTCGGGAGGCAGAGGCAGGTGGATCTCTGAGTTAGAGGCCAGCTTGGTATACAGAGTGAGTTCCAGGACAGTCAGGGCTACACAGAGAAAACTTGTCTTGGAAAACAAAAAACAAATAAGACAAAAACCAAGCAAAATAATCATATAACAAACTTAAAAGTCTAAGTAGTGGAAAGAGTTGCTGAGGAAAAAGCAGGGTTAGGGAGCAGTGAGTAACATTCGATTTTCTGAATTACTCAAAAGAGCAAGCCAGGTTGCATGAACTGGCTCAGCTATTAAGGCTCTTCCATCCAGCCTGACCACCTGAGTTTAATCCCCAGTCTGATGCCTGGGATCTCTATGGTACAAGAGAAGAACAGACACCCTATCCCATCCCCCACCCCCAGAGTTGTCCTTCTGACTCCCACATATGTGCAGGAAGTGAAACATTAAAGAGAAATAAGTGTGTACACACTGACTGTCCTCAACCCAGACTCAACTCTGAAAATAACCACTGCTCCCAGCTTCTGACAGATCAGTGCCATTTGACCACAATGGCAGCACATGGCAAGTTTCAGCACCCTACTCTTACTTAGCAAGCTACCTTGGAAGTATATTTACATGACTTTGTATGAGGCTTGCCCAGCCCCTCAGATAGTATTCTATTACTAAATGAGCCAGAAGTAACTACAAGAGTTCTTGTCTATAAATATAAGCCTTGTGCCACTACAATCAATGCCATGACTCCTGTCCTTACACATAAATCCACTCTACATGTGCTAGTGCATGTGTAGAATAAAAGTCTGGGTGGTACTGTCGATTCAAAGTGTGTGATTTAAATTATGGTGGCATTGGCACACTGCTCTTGAAAAAAGTTGTATCTAATTCTGTGACCACAAGCAATACATGTGAGGCTATTTTACTTGAGACTATTTCCCAGTGGATACTCAGCCTAGAGTAGAGGGTTATTCTTCGTGTGTAACATGACCTATATTCCCTTGTCTATGAAGAGTCCATCATAACTTCTACCATTTTCTTAAAAAATTCATTCATGAATCATAGTGCACATGTCTTTTATTCTAGCACAAAAGACAGTTGAAGCAGGCAGATCTCTAGGATTCAAGGCCAACCTGGTCTACAAAGTGCCTTCCAAGATAGCCAAGGCTACACTGTAAGATCCTGTCTCAAATACCAACACCATCACCCCACAAACTTTTTCTAGACAAAGTGAAGCACAGCCATAATCCCAGCACCCAGGAGGCTGAGACAGAAGGATTATTCTAAATTCAAGTGCAGCCTGAATTACATAGTGACAGCTACCCTATCTCAAAAAACTCTATGTATATTTTCAAATTAATGTGCCATGTGCCATGGAACTCAAAGACTTCAATAGTGAACAACTGGAAATAATTTCCCATTAGAATTCTTCCCCAATAGTTTTTCTCATAGGGAATCACCTACTTAAGGGTGGCCTTTCCAGGCTATTCTCTATGTATGGACAAGCAGATAGACGTGTATTTAAGGCACAAATGAAGGTGTGCTATTCTAAGGTTTATGTCACCTTCTTTCCAGAAGCCTATACATATAGGCCTAATTCTTTTTAACAAAGGCATCGTAATCCATTACATGAATACAACATACTTACTTTAACTGTAACCAAAGCCTCTGTATGTGTGTGCAGGACACTCTACTACTAGCTAGGCTATGTAAACAGATGTGAAATGGGAAGGGCACATTTCAGACTCTGCTTGTATTAAATTATGTTTTGGCAACTCATATAACTCCAGAGTGATCTATGGCCCTAGATACTGATGGAAAAATTGGGTTTCAAGCCTCTGCTATTAGAAACAATGCAAACCAATTATCAACCACATCTGGCTCTGCATTTTAAAACTTCTTTAGTTTCTACTAAAATCCTCTGAAGTAATTTTACCCATTCATATGCCTAGCAGCGAATGCCTCCATAGATCTTCACTTTTATCTTGGTCAATATGATTAAACAGTGGTTCTAAGTTCCTTTCTATTAATTTTTTCCAAATAGCACTCAGTGTTGTATAATTATTATTATGAGTATTTTCTTGAATGTATGTCTTACACCATGTGCATGCATGGTGCCTACAGAGACCAGAAGAGGTACTGGGATGCCCTGTTGCGAATTAGGTTGGTACGATAAATAACCAGGCCAGCTCAAGAATAATAATTATATTTTAATGGTTATAAGGGAAAACTCACACTACAAAAGTGGGAGGTCCGACTTCCTATCTGCAGAGAGAGGGCCTGTGAGAGCGAGCACACCTGGGTCCTCCCAGTTTTTCTTCCTGGGCTCCAGGTAGCCGAGCCTTAACTAGATGTGATTGGTTGACAGAGCTTCCCCATCAATGCCTCGGGACTGGAGTAACACAAATGCCCTTAATGCTGAGCCATCTCTCCTGTCTCGGTTTTTTTCTTCTTCTGATACAGGGTCTCACTAGATAGCCCAGGCCAACACAAAACCATTGTGATCCTCCTGCCTCTGCCTCTAAGTGATAAGATTATAGGAATATGCCACCTAGCTTAGTTTCATTCCCAGTAACAATAAAGTTGAATATTATTAAGAACTACTTCTATGTCCAGGTCTGTTAAACTGATGGACACTCTTGCCTGTTACTATTGATTGTTGGGTCTTTTTTATTTATTCTCTTTATACATTTTTAAAAACTCGTTTTGGGGGTTGGGGATATTATAGGTTGGTAATAAAGCAATTGTCTAGCACACCAAGGCTTCAGGTTCAATCCTAAATACACACTGCACTCACAAAATAGCAAAAATTCTGTAACCTTTACATTTACCCATTTTCCTTTCATTTCCCCACTAAGGCAGTTTCACTATGTAGTGCCAGGTGGCACAAAATTTACTAGACCAGGCTGGCCTTGAACTCAGTTCTCTGCCTGCCTGTGCATCCCAAGAGCTGGGACTAGATGTGTGGTGAGCCAGCGGGCCCAGCCCGTTTATCTTTTCAGTCTGGGATATAGCCAAATTTTCCTTAGGGATTTTTGTAATGATTTCTGAGTTTTATGACATATTTGTGAGTTTTTCCTACATATTTCTTAGTTATTTTGCTTCTTACAATTAAATCCCCATTTGAACTTCATTTTGGTTAAAACTGGTTGGTAGAAATGCAAAATATTGTCTTTTATATGACTATTTACTTGTCCCATTATTATTTATTAAATAATCCATATTTCTCCTACTGATCTGAAATACATTTTATCATCAAAAAATAATCAAATGTGTGTGTGTGCATGTGTGGATAGCACAAATTCTAATTGTTCTTAATAAAAGCCCAGAGTCAGAAATTAGGGGGTGAAAGCTGAGATCAGAGAAGCAGTGCAGCCAGCAACTAGAGAGACCTTTTACCTCTCCTGAAATCTCAGACCAAAGGGGGAATTCTGTCCTCAGACTGCACTGAGTTACTATCTCCTCCCGCCTTATATTCTTCTCTCTACTCAACCATATCACTCCTGTCTCCACCTCCCTACTGCTGGCATAAAAGGCATGTGATCCCAGCACACCTCAGTGTGAGCACAGTTTCTCCTTTAAACACCTCTTTTAGACAGATTCAATCTTGTGTAGCCTAGGGTGGCCTTGAGCTAGCAGAGACAGATCCTTCGGCCTCTGTCTCCCTGAGATAAAAGGTGTGTGCCACCACTCCCTGGCCTCTAGAGGCTTAGCTTTGCACTCTAATCTTCACGCAAGCCTTATTTGTTAGATCACAAAAATATATATATTCCAGAAACAAGTAATTCAGAAACTTTAAATGGCATATCATTTAAAAATAATTTAAATATTTAAAAATAATTTTAAAGAGTGAATAATATCAGATTTGGCCGGCTATCAGGATCACAGGCTGTGGTTGTAGTCCAGCCTGTACCATCACTTCAGCAGAATTGACCTTGACCTGCTGAGCTATGCTAAGTTCCCTCATCCTTTCTCAGTATCGTGTTTGAGCTAACGTAGACCGTGTTAGGTCTTGACTTAGTGATTTTAGTGACTTTTTGTTTGAATAATTAAAAGTCTTTTTTTGGGGGGGGGGCATGTTTTGATACAGGGTTTCTCTGTGTAGGCCTGGCGGTGCTGGAACTTACTCTATAGACCAGCCTGGCCTTTTTCACTATGGAACAGCAACCCATGTTTGGATCATTACCTTCAAAAATAATCATTGCTGCTTGGCATGTTGGTGCATACCATTAATCCCAGAGGCAAGTGGCTGAGTTCAAAGCCAGCCTGTCTACACAGAGCGAGTTCCAGGACAAACAGGTTTGTTACACAGAGAAACCAGAACGAGCCGGGCAGTGGTGGCACACGCCTTTAATCCCAGCACTCGGGAGGCAGAGGCAGGTGGATCTCTGTGAGTTTGAGGCCAGCCTGGTCTACAAGAGCTAGTTCCAGGACAGGAACCAAAAAAAGCTACTGAGAAACCCTGTCTCGAAAAAAAAAAAAAAAAAAAAAACCCAGAATGAAACAAACAAAAAGCAATGACTGCTATAATATGGTCAAATATGACAGCAGATACAGCCTGCCTACTCATTTATGTATTAACACCTCAATGGGCTTTCAACCCAGGAAGATCACTAAGGCTTACAAGAAGACCTCTGCCTCACCGTCACCGCCTATCTTCTAAAATGTATTTTATTTACTCTTATTGTTGGTTGTGTATGTGATGTGGAGACATGCGAGTACCACCGTGCACATGTGAAGGCCAGAAGACATCTTTGTGGAGTTGGTTCTCTCTTTACGTCTTTGCTCGGTTCTGAGGTCAGGCTTGTGTGGCAAGCGCCTTGACCTGCTGAGTCATTTTGATGTTCAACTACTTTCATTTCATCAAAAATAATTCATGCTGGAATTGCCAGAGTTTTTCCCACTTATTTTGTTATATTTGTCTGGCTATAATTTTTCTAAGCTAGGCAAGTAGTTTGCCTAATTTGCTCTGCTGCTCTGGGGTTTTGAGAATTCCCTCTTACACTGTGCAGGACACACTCCAGTCTAAGAGTACCTAGATACCACAGCAAGTGGTTTGGTCCTTGTGTAGATTTTCATCATCTCTAACACCTGCTGCTCCAAAGACACTAATAGTGGACACACTTGCGGTCCACGTCATCATTTTATAACACCTGAATGGCATTGTCACATAAGAAAAAACTTTTAAGCCAGGCGGTGATGCACACACCTAACACTCCAGAGGCAGAGGCCAGGCTGGTCTATAGAGTAAGTTCCAGCACCGCCAGGCCTACACAGAGAAACCCTGTATCAAAACATGCCCCCCCCAAAAAAGACTTTTAATTATTCAAACAAAAAGTCACTAAAATCACTAAGTCAAGACCTAACACGGTCTACGTTAGCTCAAACATACTGAGAAAGGATACTGAGAAAGGATGAGGGAACTTAGCATAGCTCAGCAGGTCAAGGTCAATTCTGCTGAAGTGATGGTTGGCACTGGACTACAACCACAGCCTGTGATCCTGATAGCCGGACAAATCTGATATTATTCACTCTTTAAAATTATTTTTATTTTTTATTTTATTTTTGGTTTTTCGAGACAGGGTTTCACTGTAGCTCTGGAGCCTGTCCTGGAACTAGCTTTTGTAGACCAGATTGGCCTCAAACTCAGAGAGATCAGTCTGCCTCTGCCTCCCAAGAGCTGGGATTAAAGGCCCAGCTAAAATTATTTTTAAATTTAGGGACATTTTCACATTTTTCAAATTTTGAGACATAAACTGAGAAATTAAGTAAATATGCACTTTGTACTATTTTCAGTCCCAGTGACGTGACACCACTGAGCTTTCCAAAGAGGGAAAATAAGCAGTCAGGAGTTAGCAGGCACTTAAACGAATAGAGGAAGCTTAGTACAAAGTAAGATGAATCAAGAGTATATACTTATTAATGATCTAGAGTCCAGCAGTGATTCAAAACATAAAATGTGTTACCGCTCAACCTTTTGAAAAGAATAAGCTACAAATAGGAAAGTACTTGCGTAATGTATGTGTATATGTATATGCATATGTGTGTATGTTTATATATTAGACTATAAGCAAAATGAAATAAGTAAGTGGAGGATTATCAGGTAACATACAAACAATAAAACTCACATTTCCAATGATCTCTGCTACTTCTTTAGGACCTGCACCTGTTAAAAATCAAAATACACATTATCATTCTCACAATATACATGAGTAAACACAGAAATTGGCATTCATTTTCTCTCACAAAGAGGTGGATTAGAGCCTGGGTGAAAATTTCTCAAAAAATAGTCCAAGGAAACACCTGCGGTGCCTAGTAAAGGTAAGGATTCCCTATTTCAACCCCCTGCTACTTTATTAGAATGCCTGGTAACAAAGATGGAAGGGTGGGGAATGGCCAGATGGCTCAGTGGGTAAAGGGCTTGGTGTACAAGCATCAGGCTATGAATTCAGATTCCCAGAACCCAAGTTTAAAAACAAAAACACCAAGTATGTCTCTGAATCTGTAAGCCCAAGTGATCAGGAGGATCCTAGAGTTCAATGACCTTTCTAGTCTAACCAAAAAGTGAACTCCAGGTTCAGTGAGACCCTGTCTTAAAAACTAAGATGGATTTGGTAGGTTAACATGCTTGCTACTCAGACCTGAAAACCCGAGCTTGATCCTCAGATCCCAAGTGGAAGGAGAAAACTGACTCCCAAAAGCTGTTCTCCGACCTCCACAACAAAGGTCTGGCATGTGCCTGTCCACACTTGTGCACATATATCACACACATATATATACGATAATAAAAAACAAAACTCACATTTTCAAAAACAAGATAGAGAGTGGTGAAGACACCTAACATTAACCTCTGGCTTCCATGCCTACCCACCTATATAGAAGTAAGTATATATGCACAACAGACAGACAGACAGAGAGACACACACAGGCAGGAACATTAAAATTTTCAAATTCTTTTTGTTTATTCATTTTATTTTATGTGTATGAGTGTTTAGACTGCAGGTAATGTATGTGCATCACGTGCGTGCCTTGTGCCTATGGAACCCAAAGCGGGACATCAGATTCCCTAGAACTGGAGTCACAGATAAAGCCTCCATATAACTGCTGAGAGCTGTACCCAGGTCCTCTGCAAGAGCAGCAGGTGCTCTTAACTGTTAGGTCATCTCTACAGCCCATTAGAAGCTTTTAAAAAAATAACTATACCCATCCTTCCTTTCCAACAGATCCCTCTTCATTTACTAGCCACTCACCCCACATAGTGGGGGCACCATTTCCTCATACAGTATAAAGTACAAACTCTTAGACTAAGCAATACTTTCCTCTTAGCCAAATGCCTCATACCTGTTAAAACACTGTTAGTGTTCGTGGTGGGCTGGAGAGCAGGTACTTTTGCCAACGATATCACACTGGTAATAACTGGTGTTGTAGGAATCCTTGGAGAAGGGAGTGTTGTCACAGCATTTTGTGCTTTAGGAATAATTACTGATACTGACTTTGGGAGCACAATTACTAAAAAAGTGTAATGAGACAGATTAGCATTGTCCCTGCACAATGGAGACATACAAATTTGTAAATTGTTCCATAAAAATAAGGAATAAAATGAATGCTGATTAAAATAAACAATAAAGACAAAGTATATATAAAAGGGTAAAACACAGGAATAGAATTATTTAACAGTTTTTCAGGAAGCAATACAAAGTTCTAATTTTGTGTAATGTTAGTTTGGGTTCTTGTCATAAAGTCAGTGTTCACTGGGACTTAAAGAGCCTGATTCTGTAAAACTCTAGCTTCAAAGGACAATCTAAATCCCATATAAGATGTTCCAAAAATCTAATAATTTTAATAGCTAACAGGTTAAATGCCAGGTGTTAGGAATAACTAGAAGTTCCTGTTAGTGGGTATAAGACCCTACACTTAAGCTTATCTCAAATAAAACTTTAACACGACAGTTTCCCAAAGCCAAAGAGGCCACTGTCCCTCCATGGAACACTGTTTTTTCTCTTGCCTAAAAAGAATAAGTTTCATTTTCATACTGTTTATATTATCATATTTTGCTAATATTCATGCTAATTACATTTAATCCTCCTTGTCCCCTTTCTCCCTGCAATAGTTCACCTTTTTTACGCAAATATGAAACAAAACAATATTTGTCTTTCTTTTTCCCTCCCATTCCTTCGACCCCTCCCTCTGCCAACTCAGTCTCCAATTGGTTTACTTCAACTATATTATAAAATAAATATTTTACTACCAACCTGACTAGTCCAAGGGAAGAACTGGCCAGTACAAAAGTGTAGAATAGACATATAAAAAGGGAGTACAAGGTAAGTAAGAGCCAAACTGCAAGAAGCAAAAGCACGTGGCGTCTGTCAATTAAGTACTTAAGGTTCTGACCAGAAGACAGGTATATCAAGTGTTTCTGACGCGGAACATATGACTGGGTGGAGACTTTAAGAACATTCCTCACATCTAGTCTGAATTTTTTGAGCACATTAGCTGTCCTACTTGTAAAGTTATTTTCTTTTTCAGGAAAAACTCTGATACCCATAAAGAACTGTTCTACTTTATTTTTTTCTGAAATAATTAATGTGTTTCTCTTTTTTCTTTAGCTGCAAGCAAGATCTGCATCAAATTCTGTATCAGTCACAGCCACCATATTAACACACTTACATCCTTCCATTTGTTTGCCCTGTTTTTAATTTTTTATTTCTTTTTAAATTTTTTTTAAATTTTTATTTCTAATTATAACTGAGTAGTATGGATCCCTTACAATAAGTTACATATATTCACAGTTTAATCAAAAGCAATCAAATTAAATTTTCCTATAAGATAAATAAATATGTATTTGACTGATTGATTTATGACAGCAAAAAAGCATCAGAATTTTCTCTCAAGGATTATGTGATGGCCTTTTGTCAACTTGACACAAGCTAGGGTCATCTAGGAAGAGGGAACCTCAATTCAGAAAAATACCTACATCAGAATACCCTGTAGGCAAGCCTGTGGGGGCATTTTCTTGATTAATGATTCATGCAGGTACTGTCACTCCTGAGCAGGTGGTCCAGAGTTGTGTAAAAAAGCAAGCTGGGAGCAATGGAGAACAAGCCAGTAAGCACTACTGCTCTACAGTCTCTGTTCAGTTTCTGGCTCTTGAGTTCCTTCCCTGACTTCCCTCAGTGATGGAGTGTGACCTGAGAGTTGGAAGATGAAATAAACCCGTTCCTCTCCAAGCTGCTTTCGGGCATAGTTACCACAGCAATGGAAACCAAACTAGAACAGACTGTCACTAAGGAGCCCTGAAGAAGACTTTAAAAAGTCCAGCTACCTGCACGCAGTGCAACTCTGCTTGTATGGCAGTACTTCAACTGTGGATGCTGACAGCTTATCCTAGCACTGACCTACAGAGCCCATGAGTCAAGCTTCACTTTACCTTTTTTGTGAACTGGGTCATTCACACTATAGTGATGGCAAAACTTCAAGACACAGAAGAGGTTGCAGAAGTACTTGATGCTGCCTCGCCATCTCAAGGACTCACTTAGCTTACCCTGACGTTTGCAAGCATCGCACCTGGCTATCTGAGGAGCAGAAGACAAGGAAGGGTTACAATTATAAAAAGGTAATATTACTGTAAACCAAAGACACGATGAAAACAGCTGCTTAGTTTACTGAAAATGGAAGGCTCCCGCTTGAAATAAATACTGTGGTTAAAAACAGATTCTATTATTTGTTCCATATAAAGCATCCTAAAAATTGACTTTCTAAAAGTTGCAATTTTTGTTTCCAAAATTACCAATGAGGGAATATAAAGACAAGTTGTATTTTATACAAGTAAGAAAGAACATACAGAGAAAGAATATGAGCTTTGGAGTCATAAAGACAGATTCACTCTAACAAATATTTAATTAAATACCCTTTTCCTTTTTTTTAAGATTTTATTTATTTATTTTATATATACGAATGCTCTATCTGAATGTATGCCTTTATTCCAGAAGAGGGTATCAGATCACACCATAGATGGTGGCAAGCCACCAAGCGGTTGAAGAGCAGTCAGTGCTCTTAACCACTGAGTCATCTCTCCAGCCCATAGTACCCTTTTCTTAAGCACTGTGATTGGTCCTTCACCATATAATGGTTAGAACATATTATATTCCTCCACAAGGAAATTACGCATGGGGTGAGGCAGTTAAGTAGCTACTGATTCCACTAGAGCACTGTGGGTGCAAGGCAGTGTCATCTACTAGCTTCCTCACGGGCATGCTACTCACCTCTCTGCACTCCAGTCTTCTACTTACAGACTGGCAGTGTGCACCTATCTCTCAGGACTGCCACTGGGAACAAAACAACAAGGAAGGAGCACCAGATTTCTATTATTCCTCCTTTAATTACACCTGTTACCATATGCCTCTCAAACATAGGAAAGCAGTAAGATTATCAGTATGTCCCTTGACCTATGAAGGGAGGACAAGGTCTGACTTTAAATTCCTTAGAGTAACCTGAATTGGAGAGCTACTTAAGACAACATTATGTAAATTTCAAACCTCAGAGTTACAAGCAAGGTCATCACATTTTATAAGTAAGAGAATACAAATGCACACATACCCTTACTCAACAACAAAATGTCAGGCTAGTGATACAGTTCAGTCGAAGAATATTTGTCTAGTGGGCATGAGGTCCTACATTCAAGCCCCAATACCAGGATGGGATTGGGGAAAGGCCCTCCAGAAATCCTAAATTCTAAACACACATTCTCCTCACGTTATTTGAACATATTTTAAATTGAATATGATCAGCACCTATTTCAGAAAGACAAAGAACATGTCCTAGTTACCTGATAGAACAGAGCTGTAAACTTGGACATGCATTCTTCACAACAGAAAACTTGAAGCTTGCCTTCCAGTCGATTTTCTACAAAATTTGCAGATGTCTGTAAGCAGTAACTGCACATCTTGCAGCAGTTTGTCCATCTTTCTGCAAAGTCTTGAGCAGAGAGGGTCTTGCAAACTGAACACAAGGAAGGACAAAAGGGAAAGACAAACACACATTAGCTCCAAGGCGTGAAGCCAGCGTCTATAGTGTTTCAGCTGACTTCTAGCCAGGTGTGACGACAGGTCTCTATGCCCAGCATTTGCGAGGTGGAGGCAGGAGGAAATTCCAACGCAGTCTCAACTAAAGGCCAAGTTCAAGAAGTTCAAGGCCAGACTGAGCAACTAGAGCCTTCTTTAAAAAAAAAGGAAGCTGAAGAGATTGCTCAGCAGTTAGAGGCTCTTTCAAAAGACCTGGGTTTTGCCAGGTAGTGGTGGAGCACACCTTTAAACCCAGCACTCGGGAAGCAGGAGCAAGCAGTCTCTGTGAGTTTGAGGTCAGCCTGATCTACAGAGCTAGTTCCAGGGCAGCTAACGCAGTTACACAGAGAAACCCTGTCTTAAAAAATCAAAATGAATGAATGAATGAATGACCTGGATATAATAGGATAATCTCCATATTCACAAAACAAAAATTAACATTTAAATATGCTCTAAATATTATCCATATTCAGAAATATCAGAGGTATTGTATTTTAAATCAAGTTGCAACAAAAGGCTTGAACTCATACTTTACAAATAGGTAGAACAAAAAATAAAAAAATCTGATGTCTTAGCTAAACTTACAAGATTTTCTCGCTGGGCGGTGGTGACGCACACCTTTAATCCCAGTACTCAGGAGGCAGAGGCAGGCGGATCTCTGTGAGTTCAAGGCCAGCCTGAACTCACAGGCTCCAAAGACAGGCTCCAAAGCTACACAGAGAAACTGTCTCAAAAAACCAAAACAAACAAACAAAAACAAAACAAAAAAACAACAATAAGATTTTCTCTACTAATGTCATTAATTATAGTTTCTGTTTGCTGAGATTACTAAAATGCTTAACAGGACAAATCTTAAGGTGTAGCAAGTATAAACTGCATAAATTTAACCTTGTAAAAATGTTCAAATAATACTTCGTAAAAGAGAAAAGGGTTTTGGTTTGTTTTTTTTTATTTGGTTTGGTTTCTGGTTCTTGGTTTCTCGAGACAGGGTTTCTCTGTGTAACTGTCCTGTCTGTCCTGGAATTCACCAAGCTGGCTTCGAACTCACCAGAGATCCTCTGCCTCCCAAATGTTGGGGTTAAAGGAGCACACTACTACTGCCCAGCAAAAGAAGTTTTTGAAAAGCAAAAATCGTAAATACACTCTCTTCCATACTGTGTGAGTAACAGTGAACCCCTTTACCTTCACTACAGAATGGCTTGTCAACCCCTGAGTACCGCACAATGTCCTTGATGACTTTATATATTTTACAGTAGTCGCATAAAGCCATAACTTTATTTCTCCTTTTGTATTCTTCACAGCAAACCTCGCCACAAAACAGAAACATTCTACCCTGCAAAAACAAACAACGGACATCATTAAGCTCTAAGTACAAAGAAGCTGGAAACACGGCTCACTGGTTAAGAGTGTACTACTCTTGCAGAGCACCCACGTTAGGTTGCTCACAACTGCCTACAACTCCAGTTACAAGGTATCCGGTGCCTGTGGAGGCACTTGTGCATATGGACATTACCCACCCAATTCCCCCCATACACACACAATTAAAAATAATTTTTTTAAAAATCTAACTAAACAGCAACTTTCTCTTTTAAGAAGTATTTTTCCAGGCCAGTGAGATGCTCAGCAGGTAAAGGTATCACTGCCAAGTCTAACAACCTAAGTGTGACCCGGACCCACATGACAGGAGAGAACCAACTCATGAAAACTACGTTCCACTTGCACGTCATGACACGTCCATATCCGTGAATACACAAATATACACAAAATAAATTTCTGTTTTTAAGTTAACACAAACTAAGGAACTGTTGAAAATGAAAAACCAGAAATGCTCTCACTGGGTGGTTACCCATATTTCTTTTATGCTGTCTCTTTACCTTGTAGAAAAGCAGCTCTGGTTTTGTGGCAAAATGATGGTTACAGTGCTGGCACTTGAGTCTCATGAACGTATGGGTCAAAGCAATCTGCTGGGACTGTTTAGCTAGAGTTTCCAGAGCAGCTGCTGCAGGCTTGCTGATGGGGCTACTGAAGGAGGAGATGGGGGCACCTTTTCCTGCTGACACTGCAGGCTGCAAGGGTGTGTTCATCACCTCTTGGCCCGGAGATATGGGTACCAATGAAGAGTTTGTTCCCTCTGGCTTGTTAAACACATTCTAAATGAATATAAAGCAAAGATTTTACTGAGTAAGAAATAACATAACTTAATTGTTTTTTTTTTTGTTTTTTTTGTTTTTTTTTGTTTTTTCGAGACAGGGTTTCTCTGTGGTTTTGGAGCCTGTCCTGGAACTAGCTCTTGTAGACCAGACTGGTCTCGAACTCACAGAGATCCGCCTGCCTCTGCCTCCCGAGTGCTGGGATTAAAGGCGTGCGCCACCACCGCCCGGCAAACTTAATTGTTTTAACTTTCTCTTTTTAATAGTCATTCCACAAACATTCTTTTTTAATTTTACTTCTAACAGAAAGAATTTCAGTGACACATCTTCCAGAGCAGAAGGGTTAAACAATGAAACACTCAAAAGTAACGGACTAGAACAAAAGGTTCCCGCATATTTCCCTAAAACGCCTTTCCCAAGCCCTACACATATCACCAACCAACTCCTGTTGGCTCCTAGGTGATAGTGGATACACAGGTATCCACCTCTCACCCAGGAAAACCAACAGACTCTTTCCTCTCTCTGTATAATGCACAGAGGGGCAGAGATGAAATAAGGAGGACTTACAATTCCATGCCAAGAATCATTAAGTTTCTAACCCAGGACACAAGGGGTACGTGAGCCCCCATCTAAAGCTTTTGTTCTTCACCATACCCTCTCACAAACCACATTCTAGCTTCTATTCTTTTAAAATAAAAGAGAGAACAAGAATGAGTGTGGCAGCACACACCTACAACCCCAACTCTTGGATCAGGAGTTCAAGGCTACCCCTGGCTACAAATCAAATTCCAAGGCCAGCCTAGACTACAGGAGGAGACCCTGATATGAGAGAGAGAGAGAGAGAGAGAGAGAGAGAGAGAGAGAGAGGAGGCAAAGATAATGGGAGGGAAGGAAGGGCACTTGAATCAAGGACCCTGAATCAGAAAGCCCAACAGCTGGTTCAAACATTTGTACAAATGACCTCTGAAACATTGCTTGACTAGACTGGGGGTTTGTTTTCTTAAAGCCTGCATTGGAAATCTTCTGACTAAACAGGTGTTACATGCTTGCAATCCCATAACTTCAGAGATAAAAACAGGATGATTGCTTCATATTTGAAGCCAATCTGACCTTCTACATAGTGAGTTCTTAGCCTCTTTGGGCTATGTAACAAGACTGTCTCAGAAAAGGAAAAAAATGGGCTGGCAAGACAACTCAGTCACGCCATTGTGGCATGCAAACACATACTAAATAAATGTAAAAAATATATATAATTTTTTACAGTGTTTTGCCATAGGCCAATGTCTCAGAGAGCTAGGTGTGTACCTGGAAAGCCAGCACGCAGTTGGAGCTGCAGAAACTGCAAATAGTTCCATCTGACATGGCTACGTGATACTGAGGAACTGCTGCGGTTTTACAACTGTGACACAAAACCTGGAGACCTTAATGACAAAAAATAAAAACAATGAATGTGGCACACATACAGAAATGATACAAAAGTCTACTAGTAGAAAGACAATCAAATATTCAGCACAGACTCTCTTATGTCTTTGCGGGACTGGCTCCCAACCATCCCCCAAGGATGCCCAACATCTGCAGAACAGAGGCTCACATCCATCTTATAGAATGGCATCACAGTGTTTGCACACCATCTCTGTACATTCTAAACATCCGCTCACAGGTCATCTCTGTATCACTTACAATACCTAACAAATGCAAATATAATATACATAGCTAACATACTATATTACTTTGAGAAAAATAATTTTATTTTTTTTAAATATTTATTTATTTATTATGTATACAATATTCTGTCTGTATGTATGACTGCAGGCCAGAAGAGGGTACCAGACCTCATCACAGATGGCTGCGAGCCACCACATGGCTGCCGGGAATTGAACCCAGGACCTTTGGAAGAGCAGGCAATGCTCTTAAACACTGAGCCATCTCTCCAGCCCCCGAGAAAAATAATTTTAAAAATCTCTGTAATATTCAATTATATTTGCTGAGGGATTTTGTTTTTTGTTGTTGTTGTTTTGAGACAGGGGTCTTAGTAGTAGTTCTGGCTGTCCTGGAACTCACTATGTAGACCACAGTGGCCTCAAACTCAAGAGATCCGCCTGACTCTTGCTTCCCCAGTATTGGGACTAAAGGTGGGAATCACATTTGCTGAGTAATTCTGAGGTATGGTTGGTTGAATGTGGAAGGTCAACTAACTATAACATAAAAATATCATGGAGCTTTACAGTAATCTCTAAATCTAACTGCAACAACTAACCTCAATGAATTCCGATTCATCAAAGCCTAACTTAAAGGACCGGAAACATGGCTCAGTGGTTAAGAGCACTGTGTGCTCTTTTAGAGGACCTGGGTTAGGTTCCTAACTGCCAAATTCAGGGTCACAAGCATCTGTAACTCCGGCTCCAGGGACTCTGATGCCCTCTTCTTGCCTCCATAGGCACCAGGCACACACATAATGCATAGACATACATGCAGACAAAACAGGCACATAAAATACAATAATAAAAAAATAATTTTGTTTATTTATTTATGTTTTTTGAGACAGGGATTATCTGTGTAATAGCTCTGACTGTCCTGGAACTTACTCTGTAGACCAGGCTGACCTCAAACTCACAGAGATCCGCCTGCCTCTGCCTTCTGAATGCTAAGATTAAAGGCATGTGCCACCACCATCCAGCACAGTATTTTTTTTTTCTTTTCCTTTTCTTTTCTTTTTTTTTTTAGCTTTCTGAGACAGAGTTTCTCTGTGTAACAGCACGAGCTGTCCTGGAGCTCACTCTGTAGACCAGGCTGGCCTCGAACTCACAAAGAACCACCTGCCTCTGCCTCCCGAGTGCTGGAATTAAAAGGTGTGTGCCACCACTATCCAGCCACAAAAAAATATTTTTAAAAAGAAAAAAAAACTATCTTAAAACTTAGTAATTATTTTTTATTTTTTCTACACATAAAACCATAAAGTATATTCTACAAAAAGAGAGTATCAGTGCAAATCTGTTTTTATTTTCAGTTCTTCAAAAGTAAGTCAATCTTGGGTTTTTGGCCATATTAAATAAATTTAGTATCTAATGAAATTAAGAACACCAGGTATGGTCATCTTTAATATGTTACCAAACCTGTAAATTTATCAAATTTAATCATTACCTGAAGAAATAACAGTCTTAATCCTGTAAGCAGATAAGCAATTAATAGAGCAGAAAACCTCTGATCTTCCTGGGTCATCTGTACTCTCACTCTTTTCAGCAGACAGCTTCATTGAATTCCCCAAGGCATAGAGTGGCTTCTGGGCCAAATTCTATTAGGACAGCAATAACAAAAGTATGTTTAAGCATAAACATAATTATATCACTGTTTCAGATAAGAAAGGGCCAGGGAGAAGGCTCAGTGAGTCAAGTGCAAGTCCTATGCAAGCATGAGGATATAAATTCAGACTTCCAGATCCCACTTTCCGATCCCACATAAAGCCATGAAATCCCAGTGCTCCTACGGAAGATGGAAGGGAGGCGGAGACAGCAGTGTGTATATGTAACCCCAGTGCTCCTGCGGAAGATGGAAGGGAGGCAGAGACAGCAGTGTGTATGTGTAACCCCAGTGCTCCTAAGGCAGGAAGGGAGGCAGAGACAGCAGTGTATATGTGTAACCCAAGTGCTCCTATGGCAAGATGGAAGGGAGGCGGAGACAGCAGTGAGCTCATGTAATCCCAGAGCTCCTGTGGCAAGATGGGAGGCAGAGACAGAAAAATCTCTAGAGTTCCACAAGCAGCCTGACATCCAAAGCTTTAAATAAAAAGAGACCCCCCCCACCTCAAACAAGGTAGAAGGAGTGGTTGTTGTCCTCTGACACCCACACATACGCCATGGCATGCATGCACATTCATTAATCACATTCACACACGTATGCACACATGCATGCACACACACACACAATCATAATACAGATTTTAAGAAAAAACAAAAAACACAACAACAACAAAAAAGCCAAGCCAGGTGTGATATCCAAATCAGAGAATCGGGAGCCTAAGATCAGTCTTGGCTACAAAACTGAAGAAAATTACTACTCAATTATAACAACAAAGCACACTATACATGATGAATGATGTATGGATAATCCATGAAGTACAGAGCCATTCTCAGGTCTGATCTGGACTTCAGTTTAGGAAAGATGATGAGATGACTCTTCAGCAGGAGACAGAAATGATGCTTAATTCATAAGAGATCCTACAGAACCATTTCCTTATCAAGCTGAGTGACACACTAAGTAGGGCTAATTATATAATGAACTATAGAGCCAACTCATACCTTAACAAATAAATAACGACCACCACTTACACATGGAAAGCAACTGTCACTTGTGCAATAGCCAATCATTTAGTAGGGAAGTAAATGGGAAGGAAAAGGATATCATGAAATTTCACACAATCCGCTTAGTAAAAATGGGCCTCAAAAATTTGGAAGAATACAATACCAGTCCCAAATTAGGAATGGAATGGATACTTAAGTCACAAGTAAAGAAGCATTAGTTATTTTCCTGTGAGGATAGTAACTGGACTGCCAAAAGAGGCAGTTCCTAAGAAATGAAATATTTCTTAATAATAAAAGAACATTTTCAACTGCTCCAAGGAATGAAATCAAGCGCTTGCAGGTAAAGGAATGGTGAGCATCTGAGCATGCAGGTGCATGGGTGCTGGAGTATGAACATGTGTGTGGGAGGCAGGGCTAACCCGGCTATCACACAGGTGTTATTTACTTTATTTATTTGGTTTTTTGGAGACATGGTTTCTCATCAGCCTGGAATTTGCAAGTAGCTGATGCTTGCTAGTCAGTGAGCCCAGAAATATGCCTTCCTCCACCAGGATTGTAACCATTCACCACTATGACCAGCCATGTGGGTTGTAGCAATGGAATTCAAATCTTCATGTCTGCAACCACTCTACCAACTACCTATCACCTTAGTCCCTTAAAAGATCATTATCTTGGGGGCTGGAGAGATGGCTCAGTGGTTAAGAGCATTGCCTGCTCTTCCAAAGGTCCTGAGTTCAATTCCCAGCAACCACATGGTGGCTCACAACCAACTGTAATGAGGTCTGGTGCCCTCTTCTGGCCTGCAGGCATATACAGACACAATATTGTATGCATAATAATAAATAAATTAAAAAAAAAAAAGATCATTATCTTTTACATCTTTTATAAGAACTTTAAAAAAAAATAAGAAGTGAGGATGATGGTTCAATGGTTAAAGTACTTGCCACACAGAAAAAGGGTTATAGTTAAAATCCCTAGATTTAAAACCCATATAGATGCCAAGTAGATTTGGTGGCCCCTACCTGTAATTTCAGCATTTGGAAGGCCGAGATGAGATTTCCAGGACAAGACGGCTAATTAGACTAGCTGAATTGGTGAGTTCTGAGTTCAACTGAGAGACTTTACCTCAACGAAGAAGGTAGAAAGCAACTGATGACGACTCCTAACACCAAACTTAGACTCATACACGCATGCCCATGTACATATAAACGCACACAAAAAGAATAAAGAGAAATCTCAACCAGTAATAATTAAAACTGAAACAGATATAATATTTAACCAGACTATCATTTATTATAAATAATTAGTAGCTGAAGTATTACAATGATAGTACCAAACCAACTAAGAATTCATTCCATAATACATCTTAAAAGAAAAAAAATAGAATTTCCTTTAGTTTCAGTCAGTTTTAGCTTTTAATTCTTGCTCATTGGTGCATCTATAAGGAGTTTTCAGTATCAATATTTCACACAAGTCATTTGTAAGTTCTGAGTCATGAATAAAATAGAATTTTTTTAAAGTGGCCTGTTTCATCTTAATCATGTCATTACACAACCATCCCATGTGGAGTTTGTCCCCTTTCCCTGGAGAGAAGATCACACCAGGATGAACAGAAGGAACTCCCACCTTCACTCTGCAACTCACCCTTGCACAGCCAGCTCAGGGAAGAGCCTACAAGTCCCACAACAGGAACCTACAGCTGCTTGTACACCATCAGGGACAGGAAGGTGTCTAACTCTAACAATGGCTCCCATGGCCATAGTGCTCACAACTGTTCGCAGTGAGGCTGTTAGTTGTGTGAATTGTGAAAAACAAGCATCACAACGAAAACATTGTGCCACTTTTTGATTGATTTCTTCTTCCTCCACTCCCCCCCCCCACAAAACAGGTAGCCCTGGCTGTCCTGGAGACCAGGCTAGCCTCAAACTCAGAGATCTACCTGCCTCTGCCTCCCGAGTGCTGGGACTAAAGATGTGTGCCACTACACCTGGTTATAATATTTGATTTCAAATCTAATCTATATATCAGATACACAGATACAAAATAAGCAGAGCCATGTAAAAGAAATCTCTGATTTTAGCCAGGCATGGTAGCATTGTAATCTCTGCCCTTGGGAGGCTGAAACAGCAAGATGGCCTCAAGGTTGAGGCCAATCTGAGTTACATAGCAAGATACTGTCTTTAAAAGAGAGGGGGAAAGGGAGGGGGAGGAGGGAGAAAAAGAAAACTACCATGTCTCTGAGCAGAATTCCAATGAATGTGAAATATAACTAACTTACGTCAGTGACCTTCTGACACATCGTGCACTTAGTTGAAATGCCGCTGGTATATATGGTAACAACAGGCTTCTTTAGCTCATAAGAAGATAGGCATAACTGGCTGCAGAAATCTTTGCAGGAAGAGGAATTTTCAAATTTGGCTGTGATCACATCCATTGGATTAATAATCTCTCTAAAAACAAATAACAAAGACAAATGTGCAATGATTCTACCTTCTTTCTCTCTGAGAGTTAAAATATTATCTCAGCTAGTAGTAACTACTGCATGGTAGAAAAAAACCTATATAAATCATCTGAAACACAGCATTGATGATGAGTTCTGTTACTTCTCAATTAAATGATTATGACTGAAGCAATTATTGTCTCCACTATCTCATGTGTAAAGTGGGACTTATAATATCCAATGTAAGCATTTGTACAAGAATTATATTTAACAAAAAAAGACTTCCAGTTCTCTGCTAGAATCAATGAAACTAGATCCAGTGGCCATCCCACAACCACAACCACAGGACATGAGTTTACTACTCAACAGCTGCCAATAGTAGAATCATGACTGAGATCACAAATTATTTTTTAATTAAAATTTTTAAGATGAACTATGAGAGATTAATATAAAAATTAGGATGCTATATAAATCTGAACTATAAGTGTCGGGAAGAACACAACACAAATAACTTAGCAGTTCTGTGAGATTTGTAGAGCGATTTCATAAGAGTCAATTATTGGAATAAGCACTGAAAGCAACACCCAGTTAGAGGCTAAATGCTGCTCTTCTCAAAGGTATTGAAATTAAAGGAAACATTCAAGATAGAAACAACAAAGTAATTGATGACTATAGTATTATGCATGCAAGTACAGTGAATTATGACTATATGCTAGTCATTAAATATCATAGAAAACACTATGAAGGAAGTACTATTATCATTTTTACTTTTCAGACAAGGAGACTAAATGAGAGGTTAAATTAAATTGCCTCTCAAAATCGGTCTACTGACACAAGAATTCAAATCCAGAGTCCAGAGTTGATCATCCTCATCCTACTAGCCAACACCTTGTGCATCTTTTTTTATCTTTATTTTGTGAGACCAGAGTCATTCCTCCTTAGGCACCCACCTTGTTTCTCATGATAGGGCCTTTTATTGGGACCCTCATGTGCCAACTTCCCCAGTGCTAGGATCGCCAGCATTCACCATTATGCCCAGCATTTTTAAATGTTTTAATAGGATTTCACGGTGTAGCCTTGGCTGGCCTGGAACTCACTACGCAGACTAGGCTGGCCTCAAAGTCAGAGACCCACCGACTTCTGTCTCCCAAATGCTGGGATTAAAGGCGTGAGCTACTGTGTCCAACAGTATGCCCGTCATTTTACATGGATGCTAGGGATCAAATTCAAGTCCCCATGCTTGTAGAGCAAGCTGTTTACCAATCGAGCCATTTCCCCAGACCACATACCTTTATTATTCACAACTACTGCATAGTAATCCATGAAAGGATAATAAAAATTAACTAAATTTTTTAAAATTCTCCTAAGCTTCTACAGGGTGTGGTGGTTCAATAGCACTGGTGTGGGGAAAGGCAGGAGGGTTCAGAGTTCAAGGTCAAGGGCCAGAGAAATGGCTCAGTGGTTGAGAGCAATGGCTGCTCTTCCAAAGTCCTGGGGTTCAATTTCTATCACCTACATGGCAGCTCACAATGGTCTGTAACTCCAGTTCCAAGAGATACAACACTCTCATACAAACATACATGCAAAAGACTAGAAAAAAAAAATCACTAAACAAAAAATAGTTCAAGGTCATCCAAAGCTACAAATGAAGTTAAAAGCCAGTCTGGGCTATGCCAGTCACTGTCTCACAAAATAATCATAAAAAGCTGGCAAGATTACTTAGCTGGCAGAGATGCGTGCCACCAAGTCTAATAACCTGAATTGAATGAATGGGACCCTCACAGTGAAGCCTACTCCCACAAGTTGTTTTCTGACCTTCTGCGTGTGTGCACACGCATGTACACACACAGAAAACATACAGGATAAATAAATATGTATAAAATTTTTTTAACCAATCAACCAAACATCAAATATGTGCTTGCATATAGATAGAGTAGTGATGCTGAAGCGTGATTTTTCACTAAAAACAGTAATAAGTTATATTTAGTCAGATGTAATGGTACACATCTATAATTCCAGTACTTGAGACGTAGGGGCAATGAGGATCACGATTTCAAAGTCAGCTATGTAAGTTAGTTCAGGACTGGTCTGGGTTACATGAAAACTTGTCTCAAAAGCAAACAAAAAGCAAACAACAACAAAACTGGGTTGGAGGACCAAGAAGGTTGAGTCTGTGAAGCCAGACTTTGCTGATACTCTCCTCCTAGACAAATGGGTGGAGAGACCAGCCCTTATCTGTGAAAACCACAGGGCCAACTCACGGTCCAACATTTTCCAGCTCTGTCTTTACTATTTTTTTGATTAATTTAACATCTATTGAAGAGAAGTGGATATGCTTACTCAACATTGTAAAAATAAAACAACAAAACAAAAACCCGAAGCTGGAGAAATGGCTCATGGGTCAAGAACACTGGATGCTCTTCCAGAGGACCCAGGTTTGATTCCTAGTACCCACATGCCAACTTACAACCATCTGCCAACTCCAGTTCCAGGACATGTGAAGCCTTCTTTGGCCTCCTCTGGCACCAGGCACACATGTAGTGCACAGACATACGTGCAGGCAAAACACCCATATACATAAAAATTAAGAAAACATCATGTACATATTATTATTCTATAATTATAAATACAAAATTACTTAAACTCTTTATAAGATCTCATTATTAAGCATTTATAATGCTAAGTTACGTGCTAATGCTGCCTCATTAAAATCCTAGGAAGTACATATTATTTAATAATAAAAAAAAAATGTTCAGAAAAGTCAAAATAGCAACATGACACTCTGCCTCAAAAAACAAAAACAGCCGGGCAGTGGTGGCGCACGCCTTTAATCCCAGCACTCGGGAGGCAGAGGCAGGCGGATCTCTGTGAGTTCGAGGCCAGCCTGGTCTACAAGAGCTAGTTCCAGGACAGGAACCAAAAGCTACGGAGAAACCCTGTCTCGAAAAATCAAAAAAAAAAATAAATAAATAAATAAAAAAAAATAAAAAAAAAAACAAAAACACACAAGCAAGGCAGTGGTGGCATATGCTTTTAATCCCAGGACTCAGAAGGCCGAGGCAGGTGGATCTCTTTGAGTTTTAGGTCAGCCTGGTCTACAAGAGCTAGTGCCAGGACAGCCAAGGCTTTTACGAAGAGAAACCCTGTCTCAAAAAAACAAGAAAGAAGTAAAGTGAGGAAGTCAAGAATGAGAGTGCACAACTCTAATCCGAGCACTTGAGACAGAGGCAGGAGGATCTCTGTGAGTTCGAGACCATCCTGGTCTACATAATGAATTCCAGGACAGCCAGGGCTATACAGAGAAACCCTGTCTCAAAAATCAAACCAAAGCAGCAAATGAAAGCTTAGGAAGCCTGTACTTGGAGCAGTTTGTGCAGATTCTCTTGAGCTGATATGGCAGGCAGGCAGCTGAGGAGTATCTCGTGATGCATTCCGTGGAACAGAAAAGCTGAGCACATCCTGTCTTATGAAGTATTTTCTTACAACCAGAACAAAACAGATGAGAAGTCGGAGCTGAAGTAGTTGATGCATTTGAGCCGGGTGATGGTGAACAAAGCTGAAAGCCTAGCAAGACAAGATAAGAAACAAAATAAACAAACAAAAAAAAAGGAATTTCAGTTTCACCAATGCATATGTTTTCAAGAAAAAAACTTGTGAGGGCTGGAGAGATGGCTCAGTGGTTAAGAGCACTGGCTGCTCTTCCAGAGGTCCTGAGTTCAATTCCCAGCAATCACATGGTGGCTCACAACCATCAGAATAAAATCTGGTGCCCTGGGGGCTGGAGAGATGGCTCAGTGGTTAAGAGCATTGCCTGCTCTTCCAAAGGTCCTGAGTTCAATTCCCAGCAACCACATGGTGGCTCACAACCATCTGTAATGAGGTCTGGTGCCCTCTTCTGGCTTGCAGGAAGAATATTGTATACATAATAAATAAATAATTTAAAAAAAAAAAAGATCTGGTGCCCTTTTCTGGTGTGTGGGCATACATGGACACAGAATGTTGTATACATAATAAATAAATCTTTAATAACAAAAAAATTATTAAAAAAAGAAAAAAAACTTGTCTGTTTTGAGTCATTATACTAAAAAAAAAAAAAAAAAACAATAACCACCCTCCAAAGCAAAGGGTTCTAAGTTTTTCTTACCACCAGTTTTTATAAGTATTTTATTTTAGTTAAAAACCAGTTCTCTTATGCATATGTTAGACAAGATCTTTTTTCTCTTGAGGCAGAGTCTCACTATATATAGACCAGGATGACCACCTGTCTCAGACTCACAGGTACTAATTACAGGTGTGAGCCACTTCAGTCACTTGCACACACATGTGCACGTTTAACTTAACAGAAGGGCTTTTGTTTAGCTTTGTTTTTTCAAGGCAGGGTTTCTCTGTGTAGTTATGGCTGTCCTGGAACTCACTCTGTAGACCAGGCTGGCCTCGAAATCAGAGACCCACCTGCCTCTGCCTCCCAAGTGCTGGGATTAAAGACATGTTCTACCCTACCCAGTTAGAAGAAAGCTTTATAAAATACACATTTCCTTAATCCATGCATCACCTTCTGATATCATCTTAACATCTTGCATTTTTTCTAAAAGGCCCATGGTGATCAGTTTACACACTGAAAAATATACTAACGAAGGAGAAAGGTCTCCAGTCAGAGGTACTTCCCTTGATTCCACTAAACAAATTCCAATGGTAACACACTTAGCTGGTTCTATTTCTTACCAAGAGGAGCGTCACTAGCTGAGAATACAGCACTAATTTTCAGTTCACTTTCCTGAAGTCCATATTCCTTAAAAACAAGGGAGGGGAAAGGGAGAGAAATAAATACAATAAGCACGATTAAACTAGAAATTCAATTAAAAATATGATTCTGAGCTCGGCGATGGAAGTGCATGGCTCTAGCCCCTGCAGCACTTAGAAGGCAGAGGCAAGCGGATCTCTGTGACTTCGAGGCCAGCCTGGTCTACAGAGCAAGTTCCAGAACAGACAGAAATACACAGAGAAATTCTATTTCAAAATCCTATCTCAGAAAAAAAAATCTGATCTGTCACATTCACCTTTATACACCCTAATCATAGTCTCCTTCATAAATACCTCAAAAATCACAATTATTAGAATAGATATACTGTTTACAAAGACCATCTTCCAAAATTAGAAAACATTTACAGTTATACCTATTTTTCAAAAGTAATCTTGGTAGATGAAAATATATATAATATAAAATGTTCCAATCTTGAACACTACTTATTTGGGTATGTTTGTGTATGTGCATGTGTGAGGGTAAATGTGTGCTCGTGCATGGAGATACTAGAGTTCAATATCAGGGGTTTTCCTCAATCACTATACACTTCTTTATTAAGCTAGGGTCTCTCATTCATTAAAGTCAGAGTTTACCAATTGCCTAGACTAATCCAACAGGCTCCAGAAATCCTCTTATCTCCCCAGCAATTTCCTAAATTTGCTACCAACATTTTTATTGTAAAATACACAAAAGGTAAACAAAAGCAATTTCCTGGTTTTGCTTCAATCAGTTTATCTGGTAAAGAAGAGAATCCAATGAACAGTGACACCTAAACACTGATTTTGAAAAATCAATGAATTCAAGTTACCCAACAATAAATACCTGTATTTGCATTCTAACACCCAGTAAGACATTCAGTTTCCAAAGAAGTGTTGACTGTAACCCTCAGAATATCCTGACCAGTCCCTCTGCCACTGCAGATTTTCCTCTCCAAGGAAGTCTCAGAGTTAAGATGACTACATGAAGTCCGGTCACCCCTTACCTGAGCTGTTTCTAAAAGTGGACTTCTAGCAATCAGCTATTTCATATAGGTGCAGTCCTTCAGTGATATTTCAGATTTTTAGGTGCATACTGGAAATATGATATCAGATAGATATACTTGCACAAGTGAGTACTTGCACACTACTTATTTCTTATGATATATTCAAGAGTGATAAATGAGTGACATTCATAATTAATATTTAGTTGAATATTTAATATAAAATTAAGTGTGAGTGACATAAAGCTTAGATTTCAATTAATAATTTTTTTCCCTTTGAGACAGTCTCACATGCCAAGGCTGACCTTGAATTTCTGATCCTTCAGGCTCTAGCTAGGATTATAGGCATGAGCCACCTCACCTGGCTTATGCAATGCTGGACTGAACCCAGAACTTTGTTCATTTTAGGCAAGCATACTCTACCAATTGAGCTAAGGCTTTAGCCCCTAAATTAGTAACTTTAGCCAATATATTTACAAGCTGTCATATCTACTAATAATCAACAAGATACAAAAGGTTCAATGCAAGTTGGGCAGTGGTAGCTCATGCCGTTAATCCCAGCATGTGGGAGGGCTTGAACTCTGAGATCCCCTTACCTCTAAGGCCAGCCTGGTCTACAGATCAAGTTCCAGGACAACTAGTCTCAGAAGGAAAAAAGTTCAATGCAGTCTGCTTATTATATATCAAGACATCACAATGGGAGCTGGTTCATCAGTTAAGAGTACTTCTGACTCTTCCAGAGGGCCAGAATTTGGTTCCTAGTTCCACCCCTGGGTAGCACACACACACAACACACACACAACACACACACACACACACACACAACAATAAAGAAAAAGAGGCTATCAACTTGGAGGGAGTCATAGGAGGAGCTTGAGGGACAGCTAAAAGGAGGGAAGGGAGAAGAAAAAGTAATAAAATTCTATTTCAATTGAAAATATTTTTCCTTTTAACTGAAAATAGGTTCTTTTTCATATAATACATTCTGATCACAGCTCCCCTCCTCCAACTCCTTCCAGATCCTCCCCCACTTCTTCACCCACACAAAACTACAGTCTTTCTCTCTCATTAGAAAACAAACGAGCAACTAAAAAAAACAAAAGACACAAATAGGGCATGCTTTTAATTGCTATACTCAAGAGGCAGAGACAAGAGGATCTCCGTGAGTTCAAGGACAGCTTGGTCTACAGAGTGAGTTCCAAGACTGGCTCCAAAAAGGAAAAAGGAACAGAGAAACCCTGTCTCAAAAAACAAACAACAATAAACAAACAAAAAAAACAAATAAAAAAGGACAAAAAGCCAAAGAAAAAGTCCAAGAAACACAAAGACACACACATAGGAATCTCATAAGAACACAAAATCAGTCAGGCATGGTGGCACATGCTTTTAATCCCAGCACTCAGGAGGAAGAGGAAGGCAGATCTCTAGGGGTTCAAGGCCATCCTGGCCTACAGAGTTCCAGAATAGTCAAGGCTACACAAAGAAACCCTGTC